TACTGGTACTAGTAATGGTACTAGTAACTAGAAGTACCAGTAGTATTAGTCGTACTAGTACTACTATTTGTACTAGTAGGACTAGTAGAAAGTAGTTGGGCTGCACCTTGAAACAAACAAACCATGATGAGGAATGATGGGTGGCAAACCCACAGCGCCAAAACAGTGGCCCTCAGGCAGAGAGATGTTGGGCGTTAAAGAGTGCAAAACGCCCAACCTAAAAGCAGAGTCCACGAGACTTGTAGAGACCTCAGGTTGAATCCTCACAGGGTATGTTGGGTCGCAACTTTATCCGCCCAGAAATGATTGAGCAAGCACTGAACCCTAAAAGGTTTGACCGGGTTCCAAGCCTTCCGATGCGGGGTGTCACAGAAACCCGAATCTGCGGTAGTAGGGGGGGCCGCTCAGCCAAATCTTCGAAGCAGGTTAAATCCAGAAGCCTGAAAAAATTAGCTATTGGCACGAAGTCAAGAGGAGATGATGCGTGGGAGACCCCAAACCCTGTACTCCAGATCCTGAGAAGATGACTGGACCCCCAATCTTTAGTTCTCAAGGCCTCAAGCACCTAGCGCATGTTTGTGCGTTTATCTGCTTGTCCACCTGTCAAGCTATTTGCCCGTGGGCTTCCAAAGAACGCTTTTATGTAATTTGGACTTATATACACACATACGAACGGATTCGCATGCGTAGTCCTGCTAGCCTTAATTTCGCATATGTGTGTCTGTCTATACATGGGTTATGCAGGCATGCTTTGGAGCATCTCGCATGAAGTATTGTTTTGAAGATTCTTGATATAGAACTTGTGGAATAGGAAGACATCCTCTTACAAAAACCATGCCACCACGACACACGAAACCAGAGCGTGATGTTCTGATAATATGCTGCGGGAAGATATATCTTGTAGGGAAGCGCTGGCCCCCTTGATGCTGCAGTCTGCCCCACTATCCAATGAAAACATTCAGCCCAAACTCATCCTCAGTTTCGTTGGTCCGTGAAATCGAGGGCCTTGCGGTCCCAAGAAAGTACTTCTAGAATCAAGGGCACGTCTGTCTCCAACCTGGAGCAAGTTGGCCTCCA